AAGGTTTCTATCATTGCACGCTCAACGGTTGTCTCGCTTCGATGACAAGGCACGGCTACCTTTCAAGATGGCGCAGGTAACCGTGAAGGAGACTATTGATACTTTTATCAATACCATTATACACTCTGCTCACATGACGTCATTAAGTGAAAAGTTCAATAGTGTGTTCACAATCAGCCATGATTGATGTTTAAGATGGAAGATAGTAAGGAGGAAAGTGCAAAAGAGAAACATGTTGAGCCATAAACCATGCAGAGAATCCTTATTCAGRRTYGATAAGTTGACCTTCTTACCTTTAAACACCTTCTTATAACCTGTAAATAACAAATGTAGAGAATAAAGTTTTATATTATACTATGTYTAAATCACAACAGAAAAGATTTTTTTAAGAAAATAGAGAAATAATTGTAAGTCAAGAAATTTAAGGCAGAATCAAACATTTGGAAAAGTGCAAATACCAACTTCTGTGGACAATCAAAATGATATGAGTTTCATTGGGCTGCCTGTGGTGTCTAGCCTCTTTACTCGGTATATGAATACAATGCGATGAACCGTGATCATTATATATTCTACTAACAACTACAACTACAACTATTTTACAACTACTTTAAGGTTAAATTCAGTTACATGAACCTCCATTTGTAATGTGTAGTCTAGTAAAATCAAAATATGTCGGGGATTTGTTTGTCAGAGATTAGTTTTGAAGAAGAAATTAGAGAACTATATTGTCAAATATAATTCATCACAAGTATGCATTTCAAGATTACCTGCACAATGATTSAAGTCATATTCGTCAATGATATCTTGTAGATCCTTCAGTTCTAACAGACGCGCTAAGTCTCTTAAAATTAGTACATTATYTATATGRATCACGTTACTGTCCTCCAGGGTCTGTAACAATTCCTTTACAGTTGTAACTTTCTTTCTCTTTCGTTCTGGTACAAGGTCGTAGAAACGGTCTTTTAAACTGTCAAGTTCGCTATTACCTTCATGTAAATAGATGTCCAAGTGTTCAATAGCTTTAACTTTTAGATCATTATACTCCAATCGCTTTAGCATCGAGTTATAATCGTCCGCCATCGAGACAACATTGCAGCCTGCAGTCTTGGGCATAAAGCGGAAGTAGACTTGACCTAGTCTGGCACCCAGGTCACTCGACGCCGACTGACCGAGGAGCTCTCGATATGAGAATTCCGCCATACCAACAACAAAACCAACAACATACCAACCTGATCCATACACAAAAGAAATTGTAGGACATGTTCAAGAGTCTCCGGGAGAAATAAAAAAAAAGTAAATGTAATACAAGAATACATCAACACAATTTTTCCCTGGAGCGTAGTCATGTACAAGTTGCTCAACCTCAATATCTACAGCAGACTCATTAACTAGTAGCGAAAAAATCAACAACATTACTCTCAATTTCTAGCGCTTTTAGTCTACAGTTTTGAGTTGTAGGTAATCTGTATATGGATTACTCGATATTTGAAAGTGGTATGGAAGTCAAAGAAAAAGATAACAATGTAACAAGGAAGATTTTCAAGAAAAAAGAGCAAAAAACCTTGTTTTTCAGAAGTCTTAGGAGCTACAACACTGCCCTCTTCATCTCAACTGCACCAATGTAGTAACGTGTTGGCTCACGCCCTTGGGGAAGTAAATTCTGCAGACGATCAGCCGCAAGAAGAAACACAAACCTCAGCATTATCTCTCCCAACGACAGTTTTCAGCTCTGTATTGAACTCGGTGACCCAAAACAACAGCAAAGATATCTCGCTATTTAGGCTTAATGTTCATATATGTATACCGAAGGAGGGGCAGGTGAAATTTTTAATTACCAAAAGAAATTTTCAACACCCTGTCCACAACTAACGAAAA